AGCAGACTGCACAAAACCTCGTCCAACCTGGCCTTAAAAACCTCCAGGGATGGGGCATCAACAACTTCCCTGGGCAACCCATTCCAGTTCCTCACCACCCTCACAGTGAAGAATTTCTTCCTAGTATCTAACCTAAATCTCCCCTCTCTCAGTTTAAAACTATCACCCCTTATCCTATCACTATCTTCTCTGATGAAAAGCCCTTCCCCAGCTTTCGTGGAGCCCCTTCAGGCACTGGAAGGTGCTCTAGGGTCTCACCAGAGTGTTCTCTTCTCCAGGCTGAACAGCCCCAACTGTCTCAGCCTGTCATAGCAGAGCTGCTCCAGCCTTTGATCATCTTTGTGGCCCTTCTCTGGACCGTTTCCAACAGGTCTATATATTTCTTGTGCTGAGGGCACCAGAACTGTACACAGTATTCCAGGTGGGGTCTCACCAAAGCAGAGGGGCAGAATCCCCACCCTGGCCCTGCTGGCCACACTTCTTTGGATGCAGCCTAGGATGCAGTTGCTCTCTAGGCTCCAGCACTCACTGGTAATTCATTTTCCCAGTCCCTGCTTCCACCTTCTGTGGCCTTTGTGTTGAGGTTGGAGCGCTTGCCAGAGAAGACTGAACCAACGAAGTCACTGAGGACCCCAGCCTTCTCAATATCCTGTGTTGCTAACTCACCTGTTCCCCTCAAGAGAGGGCCTACACTCCCCTTGGATGTCCTTTTCTTCCCAGCATAGCTAAAGAAGCTTCTCTTATTGTTCTTAACATCCCTGGCAATACTTAATTCTAGCAGGGATTTGGCTCTCCTCATCTGATCCCTGGCTGCTCAGACAACCTCTCTGTTATCCTCCCAGGATACCTGCCCTAGCTTCCACCCCCTCTATGCTTCCTTCTCCAGTTTAAGCTTTTCTAGGAGCTGCTTACTCCTCCATGCCAGTCTCCTGGGAGTTTCTACTTGACTTCCTCTTAGTTGGGATGCTCTTGGGCCTAGAAAAGGTGATCCTTAAATATTAGCCAGCTTTCATGGGCCCATCTACCCTCCAGGATGTTATCCCAAGACACGCTCTGGAGCAGATTCCTGAAGAAGCTAAAATCTGCCTAAGATGATTAAAAGCCTGGAGTATCTACCATATGAGGAAAGGATGAGAATCGGGGCTGTTCAGCTGAGAGAAAGGAGACTTGAGGGGGGGATCTCATCAATGCTTATAAATATCTACAGGGGTGTCAGGAGCATGGGGGGCCAGACTCTTCTCAGTGGTGCCCAGTGACAGGACAAGGGGCAAAGGGCACAAACTGGTGCACAGGAGGTTTAGCCTGAATATGAGAAAATATTTCTTGACTCTTAAGAGTAGCAGAGCCCTGGAATGGGCTGCTCAGGGAGGTTGTGGAGTCTCCATCCCTGGAGACATTCCAAAACACCCTGGATGTGTTCCTGTGGGATCTGCTCTAGGGAATCCTGCTCTTGCAGGGTGTTGGACTAGATGATTTCCAGAGGTCCCCTCCAACCCCAACTATTCTGTGTGATTCTGTGAAATTAGATTTTTATCATTACTACAGTTTTTACAACTGCCCATTTCCACACCATTCCCCTTTCTTCTCACCTCCTCTGGTATTTTTTTTTTTTTTT